GAAATTTAAAAAAAAAAAAAAAAAAAAAAAAAAAAAAATCGATTAGTAATAATGACTCGCCGATTAATATTTCACTCTCTCTCGAGAAAAATGAGTACCACGTGGAATGGAGCAGAAGTACCGTGCAAGAAGAATGCACAGGTACATAAGTGAAGGAGGTAGAGAGAGAGGCGAATCTCATTTTGCGATCAGGATTTTGGCGAGTAGGGAGGGGGGATGGCACAGACTCGCGGAGACGGAACCCATTTGAGGCCTTTGGGAAAGGTGCTTTTCGAGCCGACGAAAGTACGAAGAGCTTCGTGAAATACTTTGGATGCACGTCGAATTCATGCCAAACTAAATCCGAAGTCTCGTTCGCTTTATCAGCGAAGTGAATGGAAAAAAGGTTACCTCAACTTACGATACTTTTTCAGTCGTTTTTCATATATTATTACCGCGCTATAGCATATTTCGCACACGACGTGTTTTTTTGTTTTGTTTTGTTTTGTTTGTATGTTTTTATTTTCGAGTCAGTCATCTTCGGTTGTTTAAGCTTGGAATGTTAATTTAAAATTTTTTTAAATGCAACGTTTTTATTATAACAGAGTTATTTTTGATAAATAAATGGAGTTAATATTGGATTTTTCATTTTTAAATAACTTGATTTTTTTTTTTTTATTTAGTTAATTTGTTCTTATAGGCAAATTGAGATGCGATATAAGATTGGGAGGATATTACATTTATCGTTTTATACGCTTTCGAGAAAAGTCTACTTTTAATAAAAATCATATTTAGCCATTGGATGAAAGGCGTTGAATGCACAATTTCTTAGATGCAATGATTTTCAATGTTTATTTTCGTAGTTTGTTTTACATGTTAATTATTATTTATTGTTTGTAAACTTGTGAGAAGTATTAGCACGGTTTTAGAAAGGTGTGGCATGTGGAATGCTGAGCTCCTTAATTGCAAAAGGATTCAAAGTCGAATTACGACAGTATTAGATGGAGATATCGACGTGTTACTTTGCAGAACGTGAATCAACTTGCTTTCCGCCTTCCGCTTATCTGATGTTATGCCAAGTTTTTAATTAATTATTTCAATTACATATAAAATAAAACTTATCTTTTTTTCTGTCTATTTTACGATCAATATAATTCGATGTTTAAATCAGAAGAATGTTTCAATCAAATCTTAAACTGTAGATAAAGAGTAGGTAATAATACACTGTACACGTACAAGATGAAATTATTTAGATACAATTTGCTTCATTCATCGTCAATTTTTTCATCAATTCTAAAAATAACTTTTATATCTAGCTTGAAATATTCAAGCTCTTTTATTAATCTCATGTTATTTCATTATCCACATATTATATATTTAATATGATCTATTAGGCATTTTGCTGCTCAAAACTAATAGATGAAATATAATATTAAACATTTTATGCTTTAAGACATTCAACTTAACGTTTTACAAACGCTTTATGTAACAACTTTAGTTGATGAATCGATAAACAAAGCAGATACCACGATAAACCATGTGTGTGCGGGTGAGTGTGTGTGTGTGTGTGTGTGTGTGTGTGTCGCTTTGGATTTTGTGCGACTATTGACGACTTTTACCGAGTCTCTTAAACCATCGCTTCGAAAAATAATCAAACATGGAACATCGCATCTGTGAAATATCTGTATATTTGTTTATGCATTACTCGAACTCATACGTAAGACTATAGAAGGAAAGATAATGTATGTTGATGTCATGCATTTTTCGGCTAACATGTAATAAAATGTACGCAAATGACAATCTAATTAGAAGAAATTGATCGAAGAACACATTTGCATGTCGTGCTGCGTAAATAATTTCGATAGAAAAATATTTTTTTTAATTTAGCGAAAAATAAAAGAGATTTCTTAATATTCAAAAGTTTCAATTTATTTCGCATCATGATACATATTATTTAAAAATAAATCTATATATTACATATATATATATATATATATATATCTATATATATATATATATATATATATATTTATTTATTTATTTATTTGTAGATACGCGAAATGAGTAATTTATCAATTGAATTTCGAATTTGTAAAGCATGTTTTTCAAATTAATTTTCAAATTAAAACATTCTTTTACTCTAAATCTCAACAATTATTGTGAACAAATCAATATTTTATTATAAAATGTAATATCGATTTTTAGAAAGTATTTTTTTGGTGTAAGAGTAATGAAATTTTTATTAACCTGATAAAATATAAAGAACACGATCCATATTTTTCTTCGACGTATTTTATGTATAAATTATAGTTTATATACCTGATTGCAAACGAATATAATGATTAAGTCTCGATTCCTCTTCAACAAGTACCGTAGAAAATTACAAATTAATGAAAAAATACCTGATATATTACATATTATTTTGAATTAAATAAGTTTATAAAAGCTATTACAATTTGCTATTAAACTGTATAATGCTAATTGAATTCCAGTACAAATAAAAACTATAATATCGATGTTTTCACATGACTGATATTTTATAACAAAATGATTTTACTAATAAGATTAATCAATAAGGTCCTCTAAACATATTTTATTAAAAACTCAAGATAAAAGGCCGATAAGTAAACATTTAAACATTGTTTACATTAAGACACTCGAAGCAATATATTTTTAGTTACTTACGTACTCGATAGTAGCAAAATTTTCTTTATTATTTCTCTTACTAATATCTTTATTTGATATAATATTAATATAAATACAATATTTTAAACATTTCTATGTTAAATCGTCCAACTGGTAAAAATGAAATAAAAAATATTTTCATACATGATTACAATTAATTTGCTTACTAAAATGTTATTTAATTAATAAAACGTATTTTATTTTTTATTACAAAAGAAAAGAGTCGATACATTTCATAAGAAGAAAAAATAGCTATAATTCGTATCGAACAGCTGTAATGTAAAATTAGCTAATCGATAAAAGTAATATAGTAATAAATTAATTAATCACAAAGACCTACATCACCTGATTCAAACAAGATTTACACTCAATTGTAATGATACATACACTGCATATCACTACTGACGCAATGCAATATACACTACATTATGCAAAAATGTACTGTCCTAAAGGCATTGAGAACAGCCCGTAAATGCGTATACAATGGCAGTTAACAATGGTCAGCAACAAAATCGCGTTGTCCTCTATCGTTGTTTAGTAGAGATGAATTTTTTCATTTACTTTGATCAAAGTATTCTCAATTTTTTTGTTGTTTTTTTTTCCCACGCATAGGTGAACGGCCGACTGATGTGTACCCACAAAACAATAAAAGTTTCGTAAACGATAGGTTCCGGAAAAACTTTAAAATACAAAATTCTCATCGAGTTTATAAACTTATCAGTAATAACAACATCTGAATTTTAAATGAAAATCAGCGCCAATTTGCTGTAAATTTAATTGGAAATTCGACTTTTTAAGAAATTAAAAAAATTAGACTCCTGATGAGATAAATATAAATATTTTGTATTATAGTAGATAAAATTTATATTTAAGTATTCTAAAGTAACTGTGTATTAATGAGAATTAATAATTACATGCCAATTAAAAGTGTTTTAAGTTAATTATATTTTAATCAACTGAAAGCCTTGCTGACGTATTAATAAATTCACAATAATACTTTTGCATTGAATATTTCTCTAGAAACATCTAGCGATTTAATCGACATTTCAGTAATTTGTATTTATTGCCACAATGCATAATGTTACGCTAAAAAAATCCCTCTTTCCATCCGCGTAAATTTTACGTACCCGTACTCTTTACCTTTCGTATCATTCTATGCGTGAAACTCGCACAAGGTAAGAGAAGTCTTACCACGTGCACCTTAGACTTGCGCAAAACCATTGGAGTTTAGTTAACTATTGATTGAGCGCGGCTACTATATTACGATGCGTTTAAATTTCTATCCCTTAAGTAAGACGCGAAGGAAAGGAAGAAAAGGAAAGCACGACGTCGCATGGGTGTGCAATCGATGACCCCACAGGAAGGTGAAGGGCGGTAACCGGAGTTCGCCTATGCCGCAGAGGGCAACCGCGTAAAAGACCGGAAAATGGAAATATTGAACGACTGATAAATGCTTTGTGATGATAAGTTTTCTTTTTGTATTACTAATGATTCTCGGGCATTCTCCAGACCCAAATCCATTTTTCAATACAACGATAATAAGTATTTTAATTCATAGATAACTGCATGCAAGTGTAATTTATAAATATTATGTTATTTGATATTATCATGTCAATGTAATGCATTTTAATGGCAATATTAACGGTAAAAAAAGATAAATACAATACGTAACTTTTGTGCATATAAGTCGTCATCGTAACTGTATTTAAAGTCACAAAGTCTTTTCCAGTAAAAGTTAACAATTTAAAATGTCTTTTAGGAGGATGTATTAAATGAAATAGAATGAATGCCTACTTCCTATATTGAATATAAAGAAAGTATAATTTATTTTTCTAATTAAAATATCGTTTAACAAATTATGTTTTTTTTTTCTTTTTATTATACTTACGAAATTTAAAGTTTTAATGTTTTTTGTTGTTGTTGTTGTTGTTGTTGTTGTTGTGTCTATTAACCAAAGTTGAATGTCTTATTTAAAATAATCATCTTGATTTATTGATCTTTTTAAGAAATTTATGCAATATTCTCGTAATACGGCCGAAAGCGTAAGACATTTAATGATGCAACTAGAAAAATATTATTATTGAATAAAAAGAGAAAGAAATTCTGAAGTTATTTAATACCGCGAAACTCTAATATTTAAATATACGATTGACTCAAATACATTACAACAATCATTTTTCTCAAGGACTCTTTCAAAACTGCTGCATGTATTGGTTGTTAATAAAACGCCACGAAGAAAATTTCGCACTCAGCATTTATTCATGGGTAATTTTTCTTATACATACGCACAACCGCATTTGACTTTTATGAGTGCGCACTCTGTAATTATTTAATGCACGACAACAACAAAAAAGGTACGTAAGTTACGAGAAAACACGACGATGCTTTCTATATTTTCTTTTATTTTATCGTAATCATATGAGAAAAATCCGCTGTCAGAGTCCGAGCTAGAAATAACAATATGTTTCCCATTGTCGTGAGCCAATCATTTCATACTTATATCTGCTTCAAAAATATTCTGTAATATAACTAATTAAAATTTGTTAAATAACATTTTATAATTCACATATTGGCAATTATACATTTTTAAGATATTTTTAACTATCATTTTATTGAGAAAAATTATCATATTATTTTAGAATTATAATTGAATTAAAGTCGAATAAAAATTTCGGCAATCGATTGAAGAATATTTGCCATAGAATAAAAATAACCAAATTCACAAAAATTTTCTATATAAACTCATACTCTAATATAAATTAATAACCGTTGAATTTTATGCTAAGACTTAATTTATTTTTTATTGTCAGTAAAGCATAATTTCTTTAATTTTATTACTGTAATTAAACTAGACCTTAATGCAACGATTAAAATTATAACGGCACGCTCTTGGATGATGCTCAATATATATGTATATATTCTTTACTTACCAACATAATAACAAAAGTTCTTCAGTTTGGTTTCATAATAGTAAATAATCCATTTTTCATATCAGTAAAAGTAAATTAATATTTAGGTTAACTAACTTAAAATAAATTGTTCAAAGCGTATCACTACGAGATTATCGTACATTTATTCTTCAATCATTGCAAAATCATTTCCATTTCAATAAATTAACCTCGGTCAAGAAATTCACTAATTAATTCTCTACTCTATTTGTCAAGCAATCTTTTACACTATGGAAAAAGGACACGCGCAGCCAAGCGCAATGGTTTTGTAGCTGTGCTTAAAAATTTAAATAACCAGCTATAAAATTAACACTTACTACGTCGAAGGCATTGGCTGTGAATAAGAATGCCGGCTTGTAGTTCACTTTCGTATGACTCGAATGAAGCATCAAATAGATCGCGTGTGAACCAGTGACTCGTGGAAGGGAATAAAAAAGAAATGAAAAGAAAAATAAGAGTAAGATGGTGTTCGATCGATATACGATCAATTTTACAATAAAGTGATATTAATGCGTCCGTCTCAAGCTGACCAGCCAAGAAACCACTTTATAAGCTCTAGCTTACTGAACTTACAGTACCTACTGTACACCAAAATCTTAAACGGAAACGCTACAAAAAAGTAATAACATTTTTTCCGACAACCAACAACAAGGTGGGCCGTGTGATTATAAAAAAAAAAAGAAAAAAGATCTTTCAGTAAATTGAAAGAAAATATGTGTTTTAATTATTACTTATATTCCTTTATTTTGTTTATAATTATATATACACACAATAATTAATAGAAACTTTACTTACTATGTGTAATGCGATTATTATTATACAGATTAGTAGAATATTTATAAATAATTTCTTCTTATTTAGGTATTAAAAATTGTTAAAAAATTTTTAATAAAATATTCTATATATTAGCGTTTGATTAATTCATTTATTCATAATAATATGTTAAATAAAGCATACATTGAATGAAAAATTCTGGTAAAATAATAATAGCAAAGCATTAAATAGCTTTAATGTATAAGGATATTTAACATATCATTTGACTATAATTTCTTATTCATTATCCGAAATATCTGGCCATAATTATCTTGTCGCTAATTCCTAAAGTTTTATCAAATTTTACGTACGCATTTCTGACTTTTTAATGTAAAACTATGACGAAGATAACTTATTGTTTGTCTCTTTTTATCATATTTAAAGTAGTTATATCTTAATTAATCGTGAACATTTATAACAATTAATTTTGTATAATAAAAGAGATTACTATAAATGTTCAAATATCAATAAAAATTATAGTATCTGTATAGACTTTTAATTCACTGGTTTTTTCTCATATTCTACATTAATATTTGTACTTTCAATCCTGAGAAAAAAAAAACAAAAAAAAAAAAACATGCTCTTTGTTCATATAATTTTGCGATTATATTATTATATTATTAGCAATAATGGTAAGATAGGTAAAACAATAACTTCAACTCACTTACGAACTCTTCGTTTAAAATATTATTAGTTAGCTTATTTTAATTACGAAATATCCATCTTCATTACCAAACGAAATGATATAATCATATTAGTAAGAAATAGAGAGGCCCCAGCATTAGCGGTACAGTTAATCAGAAGAAGTCTATGTACTATAAGAATGTAACAGAAAAGTCGAGCAGGAAGATATTCGAAATACTAAGGACAGTAAGATAGTAGTTTTTATCAGAAAAAAGTCTGTACATGCATGTACGTACGCGCGCGCGCGCGCGCGCGTGTGTGTGTGTGTGTGGGTGGGTGGGTGGGTGTATGTGCGCCCCGTGAAATTTTCAAATAGAAACGGTTGTTGTTCACAAGAAGTCTCAAAACAGGATTGAAAGAAAAGAGAGTTCCGCTCGAAAACGACTCGTGCACCTTAAAACCGTAAAACTGAAAGCAGTCGTGACCGAAGCATTATATATGCACCCGCACCCACACAGCCTCAGGCACACCGTTGCACATGCCGAGATGTGCCTGTCCCAATTCCCAAGTAGCAGCGCTCGGTTCTCTTTTCTCCATTTCAATCTTACTCACAAAAACGAAAATCCACGCCTCTGCCTCCTGCTGCCAACGGACCGTTCGACACCCGCGCAAGCTGCAACGAAAAAAATTAAACATATTGGAAAAATGTGTCTGCATCATCGCGATCGCCATCGTGATCGATCACAATATGCACCGGCCGACTCCAGATGCTCCTCCAACTGTTTATAAACAGCACGCGGCCTACATCTTACTGAGCAAGTGCCTGTTTTTTTTTCCTAGGCAAACGCTCCTGTGACGAGAGACAATCGGTAATCTTAGATTAAGATAAGTCGTCAGTATTTTTTTAATTCTCGCCTACTATTAAACGAGCGTTCGATTCATCGTCGTTTCACAGGATGATTATGATTAGGCGCGGATGATCTCTTCGATCATAGCTAAAGTCATTTGTTGTTGGTCCCAGGCTCGCTAGAGTCAAAAATCCGTTATCAATTATGTCTACGATAAACAATCGTCCTTTTCAAATGGGCGCATACACTAGCTTTACAAATAACTTAAAAATATCATAAACTAATCAATTATTTACGGAGTATTCAACTACAATAGCGTATCTTTTAATCTACCTGGATATACGTTTAGGTTCACTATACAGTTAAATACAAAACTTTCGACGTATTTAGTACACGATTTATTACGAGATTTTTAAGTCCTCTAAAATGATCGTACCTCTAACACTTGCACCTTGAATATCTCCATTTTTACTTCAAGGATAACGATTAAGCGGATATCGGACATTAAAGATTATAACGTTATCCCGTTAATTTGGGCTATAAATGGCAATTATTAAAAATCGAGAGATTATGAGCCGCGTATAAAATTGAAGCAATTATGTATAGAACATATATTGCCGGCGAAGTCCCGAGAACGCTCCATCAGACGGCAGCAACGTCTGGATGCTGCACAGTCTCTTGCGATCAATATTCCCACTCGAAAATACTCTACTGACTTATATTCTAGTGACTGTCGTCCATTTTATTATTCTCTATTATCCGCGTAAGTTAGAGAGAGCGGTAGAAATTGCATACGTAGCGAAAATTATGATAATAGAATTATTACTACCTGGAGAGAACGTTATTTTGAGCGATTAAGTTAATTTCATGGATTACAGGTAATCTATATTGGCGAGAGATGTGTGCTGAATTGTCATGTAAAAAAATGCGTCTACCTAATAATATATAATTGTTTGAATATTGGAATGATAAAAATAATAAAATCTTAAGACGTCTATCATTTTATCTACATTTATATTTGAACGATTTTAATGATATTATAAGCTAATGGAATAATATTTGTTATTCTCCAACAATATGTTACTTTAAATATATTTCACAATACTGCTTATTAAAATTATTCAAACGTTTATTAAGATGTTTTATAAATTTAACACACACACAAATATATATATATATATATATATATATATATATCATTTAAATATATATAAATTTGTTTTGAAAATCTTGAGCTTTACATTCAAACAAAATAGTCGAACCGTTGATCATATTATTCTTAATGAATCGGTATCTTATAAAAGTGCCTAAATCAGATTGTGATAAATAAAATATTTTATAAAAATCTAAGTACTCAACATATGGCTAACAATATACTGTACTCTTTATACACGCCATTTGACAAAGAAAAAACAAAGCCAACAAACGACATTATGAAGCTCTTTTTTTTTATAACTAATATACGCACTCGATCAATGTATATTCAGCCTTAAAATATCAAGTTACAATGTGTAATGTATAAAACCGAGCCAACAGAATAATATATAAGCAATAAGCACTTGCATATTCTATAAGTCGCTAATTCCCGTGAGATACTACACCCGCATTACCCAAGATCAATACACGCGTGGTATTATAAATCCTGTAATAATTATCTTTCCCGAGCGTTCGGTGTTTTTGTAAATCAACTGCTTACAATGAAACCCATCGTCGTAATATGTTTACACGAATTAACGTATCGATATTTATATATGCCAATATACATACATTATCGTTTCGGAGTAACGATAATATAGTATTGACGGTACTATATTATTCATTTACAGAATCGAAAGTTTCGCAAAATGTATTTTAATCTTTGAAAGTTTTTTTTTTTTTTGCATAGTTAGTTCCCTTCGTTACATACGCGTTGACAAGGAGCTGATAAATATTAAAAGCCCCAAGCATCGACCGGGCACTAAGCACTGTTATTGCGCTATGAATCTTTCACAAGAGCCTAACATAATGCATTCGTAATACAAAACATTCGTAAAGACGAGCGCGACAACTTTAAAATGCTCGGCCTCACTCTCATACGCTGCAGCTCATAAAAAGTCCCGCTTGATTCGATCGACTGCGATACAATGTCACGCATTCGAGATGCTGTCCCCAAGCGTTTTCCCAAGATCAATAATGCTCTCTCTCTCTCTCTCTCTTTCTCTCTCTCTCTCTCTCGATAATGAAATCGGGCGCGAAACGTCAAAACCGGCAAAGGAGCTGCTTTTTACCAGGCGACAACCGAGCACGAAATGCATAATGTCCCGTCGCGTGTGTAAGTAAGGACAGGCATTTCTTCTCCCTCGTTCGCGCGAAGCGTAGATAAAGAGAGAAGCAAGAGAGAAATAATGTCGAGGGCGGCCTCCTCGGAACTCGGCTCTATCTCTCATTCTCTCATTCTCTCATTCTCTCTCGTCTCATTCTCTCTCTCGTCTCTTTCTTTCTCTCTCTCTCTCTCTCTCGTCTCTTTCGTGCAAGACGAGGGCAAGAATGTAAAAGAGAGTCGAGAGGGAAAAAACGTGGCGGGTATACCTTTTCTTATGCAGCCAAGACTCTCGGGCGGTTCGCGCGTGGAATCCAGGGGAGTCATCATAAAAACGGACGACTCGTGAGATAACCACGTACGGCACTACTAAGGTCGCGCACAGCCACCACCCCTCAACATGTCACAATCCTCGCACACGCGACTCCGATTCAACTCCTCCTCCGCGTAACTTATCCTCCACTCCCTTAAGCGACCCTCGATCCTCGACCGACCGCTCCTCTTTCTCGCTTCCCCTCGCTTCTTATGGCACAACTTCTTATGACACTCCTGACTTCTCACCCACCCCCTTTTTCCCTTCACTATTTTATACACTCGACCGACTGCACGCACCCCAAAACACGCGTCAAGAGTTGATGTGTGCGGCTCGTTGCTCCTTCTTTGCCTCTTCAACGCGGCGGAATTCGCAGGAGCCGAGCTGAGGCTGATAGCCCGAGCGATCGCAAGGCAAAACAGTCGCTCCGCACCACCTGTCATATGAGTATATAGCCAGCGAAGAGAGAGAAGGAACTACGCGAGCGTGCTCTGACGTCAGCCCCGCCGCTCGCTCGCTCGCCCGCGATTCGCAAGCTGCTGCGCGACTCACGGCTAGATTATACGACGGTGTGTGTGAGCGTGTGCGCGCGTGTGTGAGAGAGAGAAAGAGAGAGCGCGCGCGCGCTAATGAGCGAGCGAGAGACGCAGAGGACGAGGAGCGAGCCTCCCACTCCGTACACGCACGAGAATGTCGGCTGAGTGGGAGTGGAGCTGGACAACGATTAACGATTAACGGCCAACTTCAGAATGCACGGCTGCTTGGCTATCCAGATTTGAATTTGAAATCGCTTTCTTTTCTTTTTCTTCTTTTTTTTTCATTTGATTTCGACTATAAAACCCTCTCTATTCGACTCTATGCTCCTTTTGGCGAGCGCGCGCGCCTGTGTGTGCGTTTGTGGGTCCGTGCAAAGTGAAAAACCAAAAAATGGTGTTAGGCGTAGACATTACGCGATACGTATAAAAAGGTTTAGTGAATTAATTTACCGTGGACTCGACACTTTTTGGATTACTCATCCATTCTGCTTAGTATGTTCCTAATTAATCGTCCTAATTAATATTAAAATGTCAATTGAAAATTGGCTTTATCACATCTGGTTTCCAAATTTATATATACAAAAGAATCAATTTTCAGGTTATTAAGCATATTTCATGAAGAAGTATAGTTACAATTTAGGCTCATTAATCATTGATTAGGAGTTGAATCATTTAAAAGCGTAATGAATTCTAAAACATTAAACAATATATTTTTCACGATATATTATTATAATCATAAACGCAATGTTACAATCATTTTTTATAAAATTAGCTCAATCAATATACAAATTATATTTTATTTATGAAAAACTCATGCATATCCTAGTAATTAAGAAACTGCGGGATTTTTTTCTATCGAAAGAACTTTCGAGTGTACACATTATACATATTTAATTTCGTTCGGTTAAAATAATTATTCAAAATATCTTAAAAGTTATATATATATATATATATATATATATATATATATATATGCATGTACGCGCGCGCGCGATGATCGTTTATATTTATTTAAACGTCAATGGTATAATTTTTTCAACTCATAACAAGTTTAGTATTTATAGAGTCTGAATAAATAATTATTAAACCAAATGACTAAAGATCCTTATATGTATTATGATGGGAAAGGTAACATAGAATATCAAGTGCTGCCACCTTCTTATATTTAATTAAAATAATTTACATTTATTTTGGCGCTTTAGTTGGTGCGGCATTGAAAAGATTGTCTGGTTATAAAAGCAAATAATTTAGAAAAGGAGACTTAGTCGAGGCGTTATTTTTTATTTATTTGAAATGAAAATATGTAAAATTGCAATGGTCTTATTTTCATAAATGTGTATGTTTTAACTTATTTATTTTTACGTAAGTGAATAAATAAATATTTATTTTATGTACTATACTTAATTGAAATACAGGACGCCCTTGTTTCTAATAATTTTTTTAATATAAAGTAGAATAATGAAAATTGTAATTAAACAATTATTTATATAACCAATTTTTAATTGCCCATAGATAAATCAATTGATGATTGAGAAGTATGTCTGAGTTAAAATTTTCATTGGAAGAGGAATTGTCATCGCCAGATTTATTCTCAGATGCTGATATTGGGACAAATATTTCTATCGCTGGAACGTCGGATGAAAGTATGCTATATTATTAAATAATTGGAAAATTTCTTGTTGAATTGCATTGATTTAAAGGATATATGAATGATCGTTATGGCTTTAGCAAATTCGACATCGGGTGGATTTATTGAACCAGACCTTAATACCGATGATCCTCAATGGAAAGGAGTTAGTATGGAAGAAATTTACAAGGATCATGGACCATTTGAATGGCCTCATCTTCCTCCTATACACCCGTCACCTACTCATACAATTTTATTCGAAGTATGAAATATCGTTAAAAGAGCTTATTTTAAATATAAGAATTTTATTTATTATTCTTGAAATAGAAAAGAAATTATTATGCATTGATATAGAAATAATTTAATTTTACAGTTACCTCTTCCAAATCGTGGTCCGCCAAAACCTCATCCAATACAAGCATCGGATAAGTGGAGTCAAAATTTTGTACGGATGCCCCATTCTGTTCATAGCCTATACCCAATAGATCCAGTATGTAATTAAAATATTAGGTTCAAAATGTATGCCAAAAAAAAATTATCTAAATACGTTTAATATAATATTATCCGTACAGGAAAATGAAAATTCTGGTGGATTTAGACGTAGATGGGAGGTTATACAAGAAGCATTATTACAAAATTTTTTATCAAGCCATCAACTCGAAGCTGCAATTTTGTCTTATAATCACAAGTATGCTGAAAAGTGGGATTTTGCTGCACTTCACAATTTATTAAATGAAGTACGAATTATTTTATTTTATTTTATTTGTTAAAAATTGATGTTTACTAATATTAAATATTATTTAGTACATTGATGAAGCAGAAATGAAACTCTGTTTAAGTTCTTTGATACCAAAAGTAGTTCAACTTGCTCTTCAACTTCCTGCTCTAATTACTGGTCCAATTCCACTATTAAAACGTCAATCAAATAAGTCCATTAGTCTGAGTCAACTCCAAGTTGCTTCTTTACTTGCAAATGCATTTTTTTGTACTTTTCCACGTCGTAACTCTACAAATCCACAATCTGAATTTGGATTATTTCCCAATATAAATTTCAATAGGTAATTCGTCATTATTATGTTTTTATTTTCACAAGTAATTTTCTTATAATAATTTTACTTGAAAACTTAAAAAAAAAAAAAAATACTTAATATTATATATATATGTATATATATGTATTTCAAATACGTTATTTAATAGCTGATTATTCATTTTGAAGATATGTAATCTAATAATTTATTAAACTAAAATAACAAATAATAATCAATTTCCAGATTATTCTCATCATTTAGACAGGAAAGACATACCAGGTGTCAATCAGTGATGGAAAAATTAAAATGTATTTTTCATTATTTTCGAAGGATTACAACAAGAGGTATCTTGAAAATTAACACATATACATACAAATACATGTATTGATTACATTAATGTATTATCATGTTTTTTTTTCACCACGCAGCACCTGAAGGTACAATAACAATACAAAGAAGATCTATTCCCAAAAAAAATTGTCCTAGATGGGATAAACAGAATTTGAAATTACCTCCATTACATATTACTAGTAAAGGCACGATTGAATCCCAAGGAGCTGGTCTCTTACAAGTTAACTTTGCTAATAAGTTAGAATTTTTCATAATTAAATAATGTTATTTTTATAGCTTTTAAATTTTTATTGGAAATTTTCGTTTTAATCATTTATTCGTAAATAAAAAATTTGTTAGAATTTATAAATACAACAATTGTATTGGAAGTATTCTTTAATATAAAATATAATTAAATTAGAACATTAACTTTATAAATTTCATAATCTTACGTATAAATTAAAAATATATAAACGTAATTAAAGCTCGTGTAAACTTCATGAATATATATATATATGGAAATTTAAAATATAATTGTTCATTCTATTTTAAGTATGTTGCACTTATTATATCATAGTTAATTTTTTAAAAGGTATGTCGGTGGTGGTGTTTTAAACTATGGTTGTGTTCAAGAAGAAATAAGATTCGTTATTTGTCCAGAATTAATGGTAACAATGTTAGTAACTGAAGCTTTAGATGATACCGAAGCGCTTATTATTAATGGAGTTGAAAGATATAGTCAGTATGAAGGGTATAGTAACAATTTTAAATGGGTCGGAGACTTTATTGATGAAACCCCTAGAGATAGCAGTGGAAGACTTAAAACTTGCATTGTTGGAATCGACGCATTGTATTTTAAGCAACCCAATGTACAATTTAATATGGGAAATATTATTAGAGAACTTAATAAGGTATTGGATTAATTTTAATATATAGTTATATGATTACACTTATATTGTTGTAAAGTGGAATATAACTGAATGGAATTATTGTTTATATTTCAGGCTTACGTAGGATTTAGCTCAGAAGTAACGTCTAATACTTTGCCAGCAATAGCAACTGGAAATTGGGGTTGTGGTGCATTTCGTGGTAATCCTCAGCTGAAAGTTTTATTACAATTAATGGCCGCATCTGTAGCCGGTAGATCAATGGTATATTTTACATTTGGTGATACAAGTTTAAGAGATAGCATAGCAGAAATGTACTGGCATCTCGTTCGACATGACATTGACATAGGTGTGTATGAAAAATATTCTATTCCTATACTACATTAATGTAAGACGAATAATTAAAATTTTATATTAAAATTTTAATATAACTCCTATTTATGGCCCTTAGAAATACACATTTAAAAACTCTTTAAAAAACATACTTTTCCAGGACGTTTATTTGCACTGATTTCTCAATATCAAGAAACATTCACTGGGAATTGTACGGATTTTTATCGTTTTTTATATAATCGTAGTAAAATAAAGCCTTTAACATATTATTTTAATACGGATACAAATAGTCCTAAAAAGGATTTGATGTTGGACAATAGTACATTATGTATTACAAAGGCACAATTTAATTTTGACTTCAAAAAGCACGCATCTATAGCTAAATTAAAAGAGGATGAACTTGAAGAAAAGATTGAAAAATGGTTAGAAAACGTTGAAAAAAATGATTCAGATGCAGAAGACTTAAATCCCAAAGACGAAAGATTATCTAAAGAAGAAATAAAACTACCAATTACGAATGAATTACAAATATCAAATGATGAGGTTGAAACAAACAAGATCGCAGAAACTAATGAAAAATTACTATCTCCACATAAAGAGAAGCAAAGTTTTGGGGAACTATTTGAAAAGCAAGATACTGAAATTTCATCTAAGAAAAAGATTTCAGCCTTGGATGCTTTTGATAAATTATTGCTAGAAAAAACAGATCATGTATCGAAACAATCGGTTTCAATGGAAATTGATTTGAAAATCGAACAAAAGAATGAAGAATTTGAAAAAGACTTTGATTCAACATCAATAGATTCAAATGTAAAAACTATTAAGAAAGAATCACAAACAAAAATTCATGATTTTTTTAAACGAAAAGATGCATAATTTGTAAAAACAGTTCAAATTATGCATAATGTAATACTTTTAAAAAGTTGAATGAAAAAATGTACATATATTATGAAAAATAGCAGATATAGTATTATCCATTATTTAATGAAAAGTTCTCACGTGTATTATTTTATAAAGAACATCTAATAACTTTAATATTAAAGAAAAGTCCAAAGTTTATATAATTTTATCATTGTGTAATTTTTTTATAAAATTATTTTTAACAAGATATATAAATTATGAAGAAAAAGAATTATATAATTTTTATATGAATATAGAGGTATATACATTTTTAAGATATCTGATTCAAATAATACTATGAAACTGTATTATATTAAATACGTACTTATGAAGGCATATGATTATTATGTTAATCTTATAAATAAAGCGTTGAAAATTCAATATCTATAAATTAAAGACCTGATTATATAAAATTTCAAAATAATAAATACAGATAAACAGACAATTTTTTAATACATTTGTTTGAATCGTAAATTACAAAAATTTGAATATTTTTTATATTAAGCAAACATATCCGAATCCCTATACACAATTAATATTTGTAACAAAATTCCATAGAGTATTGTATTATATTTCATTTAAATATTTATAAAACGTATGACACGTAAGTCAACATACTATATTAAGTCTATTTTTTTAATTGAAAAGACAAATATTTTTTTAACGAACTATTGCCATCAAAATTCAATTTCTATAATTTTATAACATAAATTATTTAGTAGTTTTCATGTAAAACTAGTTATACAACAAATTTACTGCTACAGTATTAATATAATTAAAAGTTTTAATACAGTTACAAAACTGTTTGTAATGTTATAAATCTTAAATGTAAATACTAAAATAATTATATATTTATGTATGTTATATGATGTAATGGCCAGACGGAAACGAAATACAAATACGGAATTACTTGATTTTACACATATTGGTGATGTATCTCGGCTGTATAAGCACGCAATGTATTATAAATTTCAAATCTATGTTTTTCTAATAAATTTAGTACGCAACTAACTTAAATTAATTGGTATATTTTTTTAATATGAGCGTAAATGGACATAATGAGTGAACATAAAAGCTTTAAAATAGAAATATCGTTAATATTTTTTAAACTAACATATTAACATAATTGAAACTGTGAAATAATTTCTTTTATTGTTTTTAATTATGTAATTAATAAATTCATATAAATAAATATTTTACCGAGATATTACGTATTATTAAAATAGACATGTTTATATTAATGGTTTATATTAATCAAAAAAAAAAAAAAAAAAAAAAAAAAAAAAAAAAGATTATTAAAAGTTAATTTTATGAGTTGATATTTATTAATGTGATATGCTTAATACATTTACGTATTTTCAGAAAAAAATTGAAAAATAGTTAAAATATGCCCAGGACCTTATGTTTGACTTAAATAAAGTTATAAGATCTTATAACAACATCAAACGCCTTAATTACGAATATAACACATCAAATTAAAAAACTTTTTCTCCTAAATGCCGTGGCCTAAATATATGGCTAGTATTTTTAATAATTTAGCATTAAAAGATGCAAGGTGCGATACGTTTAAATTCCAGATATACAAAAGCAGAGATAACCAATGAACGATATATCACTGGAAAGCTTATCAGTAATTTATTGAAGCATTGTTGTGCTTAGCGGTAAATTAGAGAGACGTAAGCATATTGAGTCAACATAATTAACAGGCTCCATCAGTTGATAGGATGGCGGCGGGTATTGGAGGATATGCGAATTGGAGTGTATCTGAAAGGGACCATGGACCATGAGCTTACACTATGGCAACCAAGAATAGATAAGAGGCTCGTCGATTTTGCAATCACAATCTAAGCACACAACAATGATGCTGGAGAATCGAACGGCAATGAGACATTATGAATTTTACATGCTCACATTAAAAGTAAGTTTATATTAATTAATGGGGCCACTTTACGAATGCATCAATTATTCTAAACGAGCGCTTCAAAGTTATTTTTTCTTGAGAGCTTAAGATAAACCAATAAGATGATCGACTGAATGCTCATCGAGTTTCGATCGGAGAATAAAACTGAAATCTACGGCGTATTAGAATAATGAAATGTGTTATTGAAGATTATCGATATTCCTAAATGCCGATATGCACTTAAAAGCGTAAACATAAGTAAAAGCACATCGTAGTTATACATTAATTTATTATCTGCTTGCCATTGACTAGCATCGGATAAATTTTGCATTTTTATTTATATAGGTGTTTTTTGCGTAAAATATTTTATTGGACAGTTATCTTGCAATTTTGTTTATTTGACCTTCATTAATATTGTGTACTTTCTTATTTCCTCGGTAATATACTATATAATTTATCGTTTATATAAAAGGTAAAAAATATCAGTTTTATGCAAGCATTTTATAAAAACATGTGCTCATTAAAATCGTACAAAAAGATAGCACTTTAAATTCTTAATATTGCAAATTATATATAAATTTAAATTAATTCCTATTGTCTAAGAAATACGAAATCCTATAATTATTAGAGTTTGAGTAAAAACCTAAAATTGTACTTTTTTTCTTTATTATCTTTGAAACACACTGCTTTCATATATTATACATTTTATATATTAAGAATATTTTTTTATTTAGCACAACAAAATATAATGGGAATCAATTATATGATATAGTAAGAACTACGAATGTGTGATTTGAAGAGTACATTCAACCCTTTTTTCTTTCTTAATATTTCTATATTAAGAAATATTCAAATTCAAATAAAATAAAACTAAATCTATGAAACTTGTAAGACAACTTTAAATACAATAGCCTATGTTTTTATATTTAATCTGAGAATATTCAAAAATTATATGTGCAAAATAAAGGTAAAAGAGTGAAACATGAGTAAATTCGAATGATTATGATTTATGAGTATTTTGCTGTTAAAAGTAAATTGAGAGGATTTGGTGTTCGTTGACAAATCTGTGATTTAATAATAATATGTGAATAACATTAGCCAAGAAATTTTAATTAATAACAGAACAACGAATGTTAAAAATTATAGTTATATTAATAACTGCGTAATTCTTATTTTAATATAAAAGTAATATTTTTAAAATAGATTTCTTAATATAGAGTTTAATATTAATGATAATGATCCATTGGACATATATATATATATATATATATATCATTATAGTTTCGAAACAGTATTATAATAATCGATTCAATAATTATGTAATATTATTCTTATTTTATATAGTAATTTATTCTTGTTTATTTATAATTATTTATCGCGGTTGTAAAGTACAACAACAGAAAAAAAGTTTTTTTTTTTTTTTTTTTTTTTTTTAACAATGTATCTCTTTTAACAATTGATACTCTTATTCTATCTGTTTCAAAATCACGATGCTAATACCTAGATAAAATGCTTTCTATTTTGACTTCGTAAATATCAAATATACCCAATACTAAATATAAACTTATGCAATTAGACATAAGCCATCAAGATCTTATTATTTTAAATTCCATTGAAGTAAGCATTAACATAAATATATATCATTCGGAATTCATAAAACTTGGAAACGCTGTACATGGACCTAGACATTGAAGACTATATAAATGCTATTTTGAAAAGCAGGTTTGATATTTGGCGTAAATTTCATCATGAAAGATATAATTCAGAATATAAATCATTTCTGAATTATCAAAATATTATTTTTTCGCTATTTTTAATGAGCAAAAAATTTTTCAATAGAAGAAGTTTAAAGCTTTAAAGGAAAGATCATAGGGTTTTTACGTAAATTCTATTTGACTGCCTAAAGTGGATTCCACTTTACCACAAGCAGGTATCATCAAATGAAATTTTGTTTTATTGAATAAGATTTCACGATTTTCTAAGCACTCTATTTGAAAAGCTCGATAAGTAACTTATAATGAAGAAAATACTTGAACTATTTGAAAATGAAAATTATGAAGTACCTTCGTAACTCGCTAATATTAAAATTAAAAGTTCTCTATAAAAGTTAATGAAGAAGTTTAATGTCCTCAAAATTTATATATTACGTATAAACATAGAGGCGAAAAATTATCAAAGATTCATTAATTAGATTTGAATAATTATTAATTACGTAAATTTAAAAATAACAAGTGGCGTGGAACATATATTAATTGAATGTTCACGATTCGAAAGATAAATGAGTGTATATGAATACGATGATACATGGCATTAAAATTATTACGCAAGCGTAAAAGAACGTAATTAGATAAAGAACGCGATTCTACTTATTGTCATTTTCCATTCATTGTTTTAAATTTAAAAGAAAAGCCAAATAACAATCAGTAAAAATTTCCATCTTAATGAGTTATCTTACCCCTAAATCTTATACATTTCGCAAAGCAAATCCAACAAAGAAAGTTTTGGCGAATAGGTCAAAGCGGTAATGGACAGTTTTTAGTTTATTCGTGCGTAATCGCACACTTCATTGTCGTCACACAATACTTTCGTAAAATGCAGATGTGAATTAAAAAAAAAAAAAAAAAAAAAAATAAATGAAAGACCTCGCCTTCCGATTAAACCTCGTGTCGTTTAATAAAAGCCATTCTGAAATCGGATCAAAAGCCAACTGCACTGATATACATGCAGACAGAGTCAAATGACATGATAATATATCTGAACTTGATACTATGTTCCATCCGATCAAATTAGAGTTGTTCGATTTACTCTTTTAATCGCTTTTCCAGATTTTTGATCCTTGAATTTTGTAATATATGAATGTAGGAGACCGAAATAGCGGAAAATAAATTGTGTTTTTAATGAAAGCACAGCTACTTTTGGAATAAGTATTAGAATCAATTAATAATTCTATAAATCCGAATGATCCTCAAAAGTTCAAATATCTAGTCTACTACTTATTTGTATAAATCGTCGATTCTAGGTAATTGGCATTTAAAAATCATTTTAAATTTGTAAAAAAAAAAAA